TATATATATATATATATATATATATATAGCAAATCTCAGCTCTGTGATTGTTTTTATTGTCGCAAGATCTAAACTATATTATTGCAAAGCGCTATATATAAAGTTGGACATATCAATATATTCAACCTTACCCGCATACAGTATACTCACATAAAGTTAGGTAAATCTAAACTGCTTGATTGTTTACATCACCACAAGATGTAAACTATATTATTATCGCCCAGCTCTAATCTACTATATATGACTACAAGGGATGAAGATATTAAGATATTACAAACATTAACATGTCAGAAATTAGAACCTATCCATTGGAAATGAATTTGCATTAGTAAAAACCTGACTGTAATTTAGCAGTTTTATTCCCAACACCTCTTAACTGATAATCCTAGTTTACATTTTTTCTTTAATATATATACTTACTCCTGGATTTTTTAAGAATGTAGGTAAAACCTATGCAGAAATACAGATACAATTTAACCTAAACAATTTCTAGTGCCACTGTAAATCAGCCTGCGGAGTTCATTTGAAGTTATGAAGAACAAAAACAAGAGAATGTTTTTTTATGCTTAAATGATTGTAAAGCAGCCTTCTGAAGAGTCCTCATGCAGAGTCAAACTATCAGTGATATAGAGCGCACGTCTCGCTGGGAGAAGTGTCCTGTCAGAGACTGGCGGGCGCTCACAGAGATGATGTCTTTTTTCTTGGCAGGCTGTGGTTGAGACATTAGGAACATTTTAGCACTGTAAACGCAGCTTTGAGTGGTATTTACTGCTATTAAAGCCCTGGTGCATGCCAACCCACGGACCTTTCCAGTAGTTGCCTCACTGAGTGAGAAAGATCCTTTTATCAACTTCTGCTTGAGTGCTGCTTTCATCCACGGGTCTTTCTGAGAGGAAAATCTGACGATTAGCAGATAGATAGAAGAGAGTCTGATATTTAAAATCTTGAATATAAAGGTCTTGAACTTAAATGACCTGGGGGTCACAAGCCAGCTAGTGTAATCTTCATTGGGGTCAAGCTGGTCAGCTGCAACAAACACAGATCTGAATTATAACTATTTGTGCATTTATATAGCTTGGGTATACCGAAGTTACAATAATTGTAATAAGCAATGTGAAAATATACATAATATATATATATATATTAAGCTACTGTTCAGCAATATTTGAAGCTGAATAATCAGATTTATTGTCATTCATTTGAGCAGTAGAGGTGATATTTCTTAATCTGCTTTTATGATGCATCTTACATGTTCTCAGACTTCATAAGTAGCCACTTGCCTTGTTTGGTGTTGATGGAAAGATGTTTTGAGTAGGGCTGCAACTAACGATTATTTTGATAATCGATTAGTTGGCCGATTATTTATTTATTTATTTTTTATTTTTTTATTTTTTTCCCCCTTCGATTAATCGATTAATCATCTCATTCTGTTTCCTCCACTATTTTTAGATGCATTTTGTCCATAATGCGCTATTCAGTGCTGTAATTTGACGCGACCGGCTGAAGTTGGACGTGCACCTTGGCCAGACCCGACTAATCGATAATGAGAATCGTTGTCGATTATTTTCATTATCGATAATAATCGATTTTATCGATTAGTTGTTGCAGCCCTAGTTTTGAGTCCAACTGGGTCAGAATGATTTTCAGCTCATAATGTTTTGTGGAGTTGGCACTTTTTTATTCCATCAGTTAGATCCTGATATTAGATGCTAGATTTTGAGGGCTCAGGGATTCAGTGTGTGTTTAGGGTTCTTTTAGGTCATACTTTGCTTTTGGCTGAAGGTTGTAGAAAATATTGATTGTCCAATTTAGGAGGTCAGATTCATTCATAGTATATCACAATTCACTCAGTTTTGCAATTTTACAACTTGTCTCCATTTGTATGAAACACAGATTTGACCCCAAATTTGCATGCTAGGAATAAACTCAAACACAAGGATTGAATACACAAACTGTATATAAATGTATATGTAATATATACTGTATGTAATAGGTAAACAGGTAAATCAATGAAAGTTACATAGTTGGAGATTTAGGCTTGTTCAATTTAGATTGTCACGAGACACCAAAAGAGTGCCATAGGCCACTCACCCTTAGTCAACATTATCATCTAATATATCTATTACTCATCTAAAACAGTGA